AGTTTTCTTGTAGTCAACTTATTTCTAAATGTGAAAAAAATTCTTACGAAAATTATACCAACTACTTAAATTACACACTACCTGTATAAAATCCATTTAAAAAAAGAAAACGATTGCATAGTGTTATTTAGAAATCGATTATCCTTATTTCGCTAAAAATCAGAATTGTAGAACAAATTAAAGCACGTTTCGTTTAGTCATTATACATATGTATATATGTAGGCTTATTTCGGAAAGGGAGTTACTTTGAATTTCTGTTCAAAAGCTAATGACAATTTCCTTTCATAAACCCTAAGAGTTTTAATTTACGTTAGATTTTGGTTGCGGTTATACTATTCGAATAATATACATTTCGGTTTTAGAACTCTATAGTAGTTAACACTAATTAATTAATGTTGTAATGAAAATTAAAGTGGTAATAATATCCTTTATTTAATCCTGTGTGTAGACTTCTGAGGAGTTTCCAACTAAGATAAAACAGCTGACTAATATACTGTATTTTTCGGTGGTTTTTTATCAGTGTTATTTTTATCTCAACTGACATATGCTTTAGAAAATATCACTTAGATTTCGAACCTGGTTATAAATATAACAGTCTGAATTTGACACCTTGTTACATGAGACTACAAGTATTTCTTTTAAGAATAGTGGTTAAGAAGCCTTTGATGGCAATTCATTTGTTGACAAAGTAAAAACAAGTGAACTTCATCAGTTTAAACCACCAAGTATGGCAAAAAAAATGGAAGGACTTGTGATACGTTATGGTGTCAGTTAATTACTATAAAAAATATAAACCATGTAAAATTCTTCTACATTTCTCTCCTTTTTAGAAAGAATGACATCTGCTAAAGACAATGTAGCTTTGTTAGTAAAAAATAACATTTATTGCCAAAAAAATCAACAATGTCTGATTAATATCATCGAATAATTGTTCAGCTCAAGAAAGCGTTAAACTAAAGTTAATGACCAAATAACCTGATCAAAACGACTATCCAAGCAATAATCTTATGATCATTAACAACCCGCTTCAGGATAGATTCTCGAATCTTTTTCAAATAGTCAATAAAACCTTTCGGTACGAATATATCGTAAATAAAGCAGCTTTCAACTGACACTATTTAATTGCTATCATGTTTTATCGGCAACGATGTCACTTTGAAAATTTGAACTGCTTGGTTGTACATTATTGTTTTAATGTATCATAACAACTTCAATGTCTGGAGATTCAATTTTTCATCCAAATGAATGAAAATTTATATCACTATTATTTACTATTCAACGTTACTAACAGCACTTTTATTGAAAATGATTTCACTATGAGAAGATTATTTCGTAATCTTTTTTTATATTTTTATTATATAGTATTTGTTACGATGGCTCGCTGGCAAGCTCAAGGAAGCCTATAGAAGCCCAGTAAGAGCCGAAGACATTCCATCTAATCACCGCTAGGGGAACATTCTAGAATGTCGACGTGTAGCTATCCTGTTGGTTGAACAAGAAGGACCCCCTATGTGCCTATAGGCTGTCCGAGATGATGATTTAATTTCAGCCAAAAACTACAAATACATGAGATTTTTGTACTTTATTTGACACTCTTTTGGGAATAACATTCCTACTTAATAGTTTTCTGTCTTCTCTCATTTTGCGACTTGGGAGGGTTTTAGCGTTTGAGTGCTCAAGTATTACATGGCATACAAGTTCGAGATATAACAGTGTTATAAGGTTTTATTAAAATATCTTTGTCAGATTTAAATTTAATACAATTTATAAAACAATTACATTTTGAAATATTATTTTAACTCACTCAAAATCATTTAATCAATATTGTGCTTCTTGATAAAAGTTGTGTTGAGGAAATGGATATCAATCATCAATATTTAGGTTAATAGAATACATTATATCCATTGTAAGCAAAGATGGATAGTGGCTACCAGTGGAATCCAGATTGACGCGCGTTTCGTCCTATTTGGGACTCATCACTTGGATGTACCTGCATCTCAGAGTTGATGTTCACTCTGGGACTCGAACCCAGTACCCTCGCTTCAAACGCCATCGCATTATCCACTCGGCCACTGAGTCATGATAGCCACTTGCTTGTGCAATGGGTGAAGTTTAAATTCACTTAGCATTTTTTTTTGAATTTTCCTATTGATGTTTAAAACTGCAAGTGATCAGTCTCTAATTGGCATATTTGCATACTGTGCATATCGCCTCGATATAGGTTTCAGTAGATGAGTGGATAACGCGATATCGTTTGAAGCAAAAGATACTGGGTTCGAGTCCCAGAGTGAAAATCAACTCTGAGATCCAGGTACATCCAGCTGACGAGTCCCAAATAGGACGAAACGCATGTCCTGTATTCCACTGGTAGCCACTATCCATCTTTGCTTACAATACTTGTGAAATAAGGCTATATCTAAGAAATACGCACAGTATACACATATGTCAATTAGAGAGTGACCAGTTGCAGTCCTTAATATTAATGGGAAGATTCAAACAAACAATGCTAAGTGAATATATCATGTTTGTTCAAAATAAATCTATGTTTATACATTATATATGTAAACTGTTTCACGGACAACATTTATTTGAAAATGTTTAACTAGGTAAATTTAATAAGACACCTACAATTGAATAATAATATCTTAAAACTAGAAATAATTATATGGAATCAATAGTTTTCGTATTCAAAAAAGTAATAATAAACTTTTAAGGGTAAAACATATAGATTTGATTTAACTGAATGAAGAGAAATAATCTACATTTCTATCTAGAAGATATTTTAGCCACTTTTTGATGATAATAATAAATAACATTTAAATTTCAGAAAACAAACATGTTGTTTTAGGTATGTTTTCTATATATTCAAGTTTTAAACCATTGTATTACTATGATTACCAATGATGATTAAATCTAAACAAATATATGATTTCCTTAGTGCTGTTTGTTTGAATCTTCTCATTGATGCTTAGGACTGCAGCTGGTCAGTCTCCTACTGGTATATGTGCATACTGTGCGTATTGCCTCGATATAGCCTTAATTCATAAGCGTTATAAGCTAAGTGGATAACGTGATGACGTTTGAAGCGAAAGGTACTGGGTTCGAGTACCAGAGTGAACATCAACTCTGAGATGCAGATACATCCGGCTGACGAGTCTCAAATAGGACGAGACGCGCGTCCTGGATTCCACTGTTAGCCACAATTCATCTTTGCTTATAAATGTATGATTGTTTGATGTAGAAATAATAATTAATAACCGAAAAGAAATTATGAATGAATGGATTATGAAAATATTTTTCTTTCCCTTATCTACTAAAACGTCAAAGAAAAGTTTTTTTTACAGCTTAATAAAACAAAGCTAATGTATTTATTGAATGCTTATTTCTTATACCAATCAGTATGAACCTATCAGAATATTAAGAAAATGATCTCATAGCTTTAGTATTTATCGAACAATCAGTAATCTTTTGTCAGTATGGTAAATGGTTTTACTCAGAAATATGTGTCGTCTGTAAGTCAACCTAACTCATTAGATAATATTAATTTTTTCTACCTACATAAAGAGCAAACAATTATTTTTTATAATTGTATAAGAATCTACAGCTACCAGTCTATAATCATTGTATAACAAATGCCGAAACAAGCCATGTTGGTGGATTAAACAATATTATAAATTTATGGTATATTATGACTTATCATTGTATCAGAGAGTGTTGTCAAAAGTGTACAGTCATGTTTTTCACAAGTGGAGTGACAATTTAACAAATAATTATGACGTTTAGCCAGTTATTGCCCAATTGGTAAAAAAAACTACACAAAATGATATGCAAGGATCGTTATGTATTAAGGTTTCTGTAAATAATATTTCGATCTGTATAACTGTCAATTAATAACTTTATTTCACCGATTTTTCAACAAATAAGATAAATATTGAATCAATCGTCTAGTTGAAGTATTTTTAATAAAATTTTAGCCAGCGGATGAAAGCTTCTTTGCCTTTACTTATTCATCTATTTTTTTATAAAGAAAGTTTTATCATATAGAAAAATAGATGTAAACTGGTCTAAAATTGGTCAAATTATGAACTGTCATCTAATTATTTGAAGAAGAAGAAGAATAAAGAGAAGTATGAACTGTGCGAATAAAAATAAAAAACATTCAAGGAGTAAACTGTACAAAACAGTAGTCCTATTAAAATTAAATGCATTTTCACCAAAGCAAATTCATTTGTTTATACAGTTGTATTAAATAAAGGGAATTTTATGACATACCTTGTGGATGATATTAGCAGACTATTAATCTCAATAAAATAGATAGAAAACGCGCTTTATATTATTTGCATGTGCTGTATTTAATGTATGGGACCGTGTTATTATATCAAGAATTTATTTTGATTTTATATTGTTCAATCTATAATCAAATTTCTCTCAAAATAAATAAAAACCAGCAATTGTAGATCTTAATTAACATGATTATAAGCAAGCTGCAATAAGTTGGATGCATCTATTATTTGTTTTCCTTAGAACCTATGCACACCTCTTCATTAGTTGCTGTTGATATTATAATACTCCATCCGCAACCCATAGCTTTATTCATCACACTAAATGACTATCAATATATTGATCCATTTAAGTGTTATTTTTACCAGGTACTTTATCATTTTGAAGATCGAGGTTTGATCAGTTTATAATAACTAACTTGAAGTGATTTGATTTTGAAACGGATAATTTTAACTATGAATCGATCAGATTAGATTTTACAGTCAAGATTATTCTATCTAGATAAAAAACTTTCCACTTCAATTTTTTTAGCAGACTAAAAATGAATTAAAAATGAATTTTCAGACAAAATAAATTTGTTGTAATCTCATTCCAAATATTTGAATATTTTTGTCAACCATTTGGTTACGAATGACAATTAATACTAATAATTAGAAGGGGATTTGTGGAGATTTCAGTATTTTTCAAAGTACAAATAAACGATAAGAAATAAAGCTTACTTTTGTATCATACGTTCCATATTTTCATATTCTACTCTAGCAGTATTAACCTCTTTCATTATAGCTCTTAACATATCTTCAAATTCTGGTAATAAATGTGAATTAGCCAATTTCATATATTTCCATATATGCTTTACTTGTTCATAGCTAATTCACAAAAACAAATAAACAAACAATGAAATTTAAAATAAAACGAGGAAAAAAACAAGCTATAGGTTAGTAAAAAAAATGTGTTCACTTAAAGTTTATTATAAAAAGTCAACTTAATAATCAGTATTTAATTGATATTCCTTTAATTAATTTAGTTGGAACAAAAAGCATGGAGGTAACAGAAGACATTTTAAATAAATGAATAATTACACTTTTGATAGTTTTGTATTATGCGTTTCATATTTAATATAAAGTAATGAGATTGATTGAGTTCGAATGACATCCTTATCTACAATTAGTTTTACTAGTCATAGAAAAATGTTTGTTGGATCTGATCATTGATCTTTAAAAATAATCAATATGCTTTTTTTATCAGAAATCCAAGATTCTTTATTTTTCAAATAAATAGTTTTTATATGAAAATGAAATCGTGATTCAATTGAAGCTAGACCACCGTGGAAAACCTGGAAGCTCTGGACGGCCGTTTTGTCCTATTGTGGGACTTCCAAGCAGTGTGCAATTCTAAACCGAATGTTTGTATCGACAAGACACTAAAAAGTATATTAATGGTGTATTTATATCCGGCGTCCTGTAATATAGCTCTAAGAAATATTCAGATATGTTGTCGACGATCATATCGACGCAAGTGGTGTACGTCATGAACTGACCTCAGCTAAAAAAACCGTTGGACAAAACTTTTATTTACTGCTTAGTTTTTCTATCGTTCTTTATTGATATCACTTTACGATGAAAATCACTCTGAACATAAATGATATTTTCAATAATAATCGACTGGCTACAAGTGTCAAAATGAATATTATGAAGATTTATTGAGATGTCATAACTGTTACATGTCGATGATGTTGACTAACGATCATATTACATTTGAAATTAAGTTAATTCCAAACTATAGTCTACTAAATTCCAACTCATTGGTATGAGGGCGACGTCCAATGTTACATACGAAGTGTATAGTTGTGGATGTACAGTGATGAGAAGCTAGATACTAGGGCAAAGCAGCTATACCCTACTTCATATCTCTCGAACTGACACTTGTATTCGACAAGTGCTATCTTCGATGCATACTAACGTACTTTTTAATTTGTATTGATTACTATTACACATGAATATATTTGTAAACGTATAAATATATAAAGTAAAATGTGTTTATTCTAGTAGGTTTAACAAATTATTTGTACCTTTTCAGCACATTTTCTGGATCTAATGATGATATAATTTGATTATATTGTTCGTCAATTTCTTCATCCAATACTAAATTGTTTGCAGCTTTATCAACTAGAAAATGACCTATAATTAAATGATAATAATCAAATGATGATAACAATGACAGAAGGTAAAAATTCAAAATCATTTTGCATGAAACGAAACAAATAAGTTCAATTTTTTATTCATACTGGATTGTTAAATTTGAATGGGAAATTGAATTACCCTCATCCTACTGAACAGTAAGTAGGAAAACCGATTTGTTTAATTTAAGGATAGTAACGAAAACTACAATCAGTTGAGTGGAACACATCACTATACGTCAACATCATTGATTTTGAGAAGGCGTTTGACAGAGTGGACAGGAGAACATTATGGAAAATTCTTCGACACTATGGAGTTCCTCAGAAGATCGTCAACATTATCCAAAACTCATACGATGGACTACAGTGCAAAGTCGTGCATGGAGGACAGCTGATAGATGCATTTCCAGTAAGGACCGGAGTCAGACAAGGCTGTCTACTCTCCCCATTCCTCTTCCTTCTAGTGACTGACTGGATTATGAAGAATTCGACATCTGAAGGGAAATACGGAATACAATGGACAGCTCAGAATCAATTAGAGGATTTGGACTTCGCAGATGATCTAGCCCTCCTCTCTCATACACACGAACAAATGCAGATGAAGACAGAAAATGTAGCAGCAGCCTCCGCATCGATAGGCCTCCACATTCACAAAGGAAAAAGCAAGATTCTCAAATGCAACAAGGAGAACACCAACCCAATCACACTTGATGTCGAAACTCTGGAAGAGGTGGAGACATTCACGTACCTGGGGAGCATCGTTGATAAACAAGGAGGATCGGATGCAGATGTAAAGGCGAGTATTGGTAAAGTAAGGGCGGCATTTCTAAAATTGAAGAATATATGGAACTCAAAACAACTCTCAACCAATTTCAAGGTCAGAATCTTTAATACGAACGTCAAGACAGTCCTACTGTATGGAGCTGAAACGTGGAGAACTACTACGGCCATCATCAGGAAGGTACAAGTATTTATAAACAGTTGTCTACGCAAAATACTCAACATCCACTGGCCGGATACTATCAACAACAGCGTTTTATGGGAGAGGACAAACCAGCTTCCAGCTGAAGAGGAAATTAGGAAAAGACGTTGGAAGTGGATCGGACATACACTAAGGAAATCATCAATGTGCATCACTACTTAATCCCTAACTTGGAATCCGGAAGGGAAGCGGAAAAGAGGAAGGCCAAAGAACACATTACGCCGGGAAATAGAGGCAGATATGAAAAGAATGAACAGCAACCGGAAAGAACTGGAAAGGAAGGCTCAGGACAGAGTTTGATGGAGAATGCTGGTGAGCGGCCTATGCTCCTCGACGAGGGGTAACGGGCGTAAGTAAGTAACGAAAACTATGACGTACTATTTAAAAGTAAATATATTTTAAGGTACATGTACTTAAGCATATTAATGAATGTGAAGTGTGCAAGACCTAATCAGCCAGAAGTTTCATAAATGATGTACATACATGAAATTACTTCAATTAGATATGTTTTTTCAAGTTACCGTCAGTATTGAATTTTATTTTTAAATAGAAAATATTGGAGATCTCATTAAACTGTAGTAGCTTTGTTAAGTCGTTTTTAGCTCTCTGTCCAATCATTTTAATTATAGAACTAGCTCTTCTTTGATTAAACAACCTGATTATTTATTACGCTCGTTAATTCTGTGAAAGCTTTGTGTCATATGTAGATAAATTTCATTTCAAACTATTATTAATTGAAGAACGATGAAAACAGTGATCAATGAATGTCTAATTGGTCCATTTTTAAAATCCTATAATTTAGATGTTATGCATATATTTTAGTTCAATATAACATAGTTTACTACGTAGAATTAACACTAATAATGAGTGCCTTTAAAAAAAATTTCATGTGATGGTATGAGGTTCTTTTCTACAATAATCGGCTATTGAATGACCTCTCAATTGTTCGAATCTAAATTTGACTCAAATGAAGAAACCCTCTATAGCTTTCAACTTAAGCACATGGATAAATATTTGTGAACATCTCTTAGTTGCTTCGTCAATAATAGTATAAATCAGTCAATAAACACTGAATATTTGAAAGTCTTAGTGGGTATCAACGTATAAAAGCCCATAAACCATAGATAACGAAAGGCGTTAACATAACTGTTCTACCTTAGCTTGAAATCTTAACACGCAATACTAAAAATCAGTAACGAACAAATTAAAACTCATAAAATTATTAAGAAAGCTGTTTTGTTTCATATTTACAGGAAATAACTCTAAAGAAAGTGAATTAGCTATACTATCGCACTTCATCATATAGGGCATAAATGACACGTATTCGCTATTGTTATTACAAAATGATAAGTTTCCTTAGTTTGACAGAAACGTTCACAACAAATTCAGTTAACATCAATATAATTTATGTCAAAGAATTTTAAGTGAGGTTTTTGTAAAAGAAAGTACTATTGTCTAAAGTATCATGGATAGCTTAAATGCATTAAAATTTTTGAAAAGATTTTTATAACTTAACACTAATGATATTTAACGAGATAGAATCATAATACTATTAGACTAATAACATACTATATTTCTAATTGGAGTCAAAAGGAAATTAATTTCTATCTAATAAAATTTGAAACCCTACATTAACTGAACTACAATGTAGTTCATGTTAATGAGTAAAAATTTCTGAATTTAGACAGATGAATAACATGAACTGTTTATACAATTTAAATGTTTAAAAATAAAAATGGAAAGGAACAAATTCTTTATCAGTAGTTCTTAAAGTTTTATACTTCTGTTGTTCAACTTAGTGCAAAATAACAACAAACACTTAACATTTTAAGTAGAATGTGTGATAGACTTGTACTATGGTGTGGGTTACTGATATCCACATAAGTAGTATATGGTGATGTCTGGTATTGAATGTATTTCAGTAGAAGATCGATAAGGGGAGAACGGGAAAGGCGCGCTATTGGTACGAAAATCCATGAACAATTATAATCGGAGACTATGGACAGATATTTGCAGAAGAAACAGTCAAATTGAGACAGTTGATTGTTATTTTGCAAATTAACTGTTCATTATATTGTTCTCATATTTTAATGAAATATTCTGTAATGTTGTGCTAAAATACATTCGATTGTCCCTAGTCATGTTTTGTTCACTATAGTACTTATATGATAATATTCTCTTCTGATTTTCATTCAGGTTTATTAATGTTCAAAAATTGTGGTTTAATAAACCCTCATAGATAAACAAGGGTGTAAAATAAAGTATGAGGGATTTTGGGACTATTAATAATTTTAAATCAGTCAAGGTGTAATCATCGGAACTTTCATTATAATCGAAGTTTGGACCGTGTATTAAAGGTTTTCAATTGAATACATAATATCTATTTGGTAAAGGCCATACAGACTTTCGAAAAAAAACAGAAATTTCTGATGAAACACAGAATTTACAATCTAGATGTTCATACTGTTTTTAATTGAACATATACTAAATACTATGTAGACTAAATAAGAGGAGAGTTAAGTAAATATACACTTTTAGTCATTGAAATAAACAAAGAAAAAAAAGGAATACCTACGATTTGATGTTACTACACTAATTTTCATCTAATGAGAAAAAGAACAAAAATGATTTACGAGAAGATTAAAGAAAATATCGAAAAAGTTCAAAAGGTCAATATTTTACCAATGTTGCAATAAAAGAAATCCTTTAATGTTTCATATATGTATGTGAGGACGTGGTATACTGGATCGGTATTAGATTTAATAGTTAAGCTATTTAGTTTATCGTTTGCCGGATAGTTACAAAGCTTATTTTGTGTACTTATAGATATTATTTCACTAGAATAAATTATAGTTGAAAGTGTGAGTCAATTGAAGCCAGACCATCATGGAAAACCTGGAAGCACTGGACGGCCGTTTCGTCCTATTGTGGTACTCTTCATCAGTGTGCATCCACGACCTCGTTTCACGAGGTTCGAACCCAGGACCTACCAGTCTCGCTTCAGAGCACTTAACCGATAGACCCCCTTCTGATAAGAATAAATTATGCCAGGAGAAATCTTAATGAATTTATTCCATTAATATTAGAATTGTAGTTCAGTAGTCATTTCAGGAAAGATTTCATTCATTTTTATTAATATCAAATTAAGTGAAAAAAGATAAAACGAATGAAAATCTGTTCATAAATAATTCCACTTTATTTCATGATAGAAATATTCATATAAATGAATGAGATCTAAAATAATTGGATTTGAATTGAATTACTATTTGACTAACCAACAACTCAACTGCTTGAAAAGCGATCTAATTTCCCCTTGAAAATCAATATTTTGTTTGCTATTTTTAGAGGGACTGCTTATTAATATATATAGTTGTCTTAGAAACTACACCTATTCAAAGATAATCAAAATACTGAAAATCGATCATAGAGAACAACTCTATGCTTTAAAGATGACTATTCTAGTATTAGATGGGAAGCGTTAACGTTTGTGAAGATATTATTTGTACAAATATAATAAATATCTAAAATGATGGATGATAATGACAATAAGGAATGAGAGGTAATAAATATGCGCAGTGTTTGTATAGCTCTGGGATTTCAAAAGAAATGGAAAATAACTAAACGAAACTAGTTATTAAGGTAACATCATCAATTTAGTTTAGATAGAAGTTATTTGATATCGTTAGTTGAAATAAATCAATGTCTTAGTTCAATGACTACAAAATGTCTTTCAATTTCATCTGCTTTGTTATCTGTTCAATTTTTTTATTACACGAAACTCTTGCATTACCTTACAGAGTATTCAAGAACAAAGAATATTTTTTCATGAACAAGTTTTGTTTTAATTAACTTCTTTAGAAAAATGTACAGTTATAAGTCCATAATAATTGTGTTATTTCATAAAAGTCTGTTCTAAAAATAAATGCAGAGGTCTGCTTCACAGACATTTCAACAGTGTACATACTTTCTTCATTTTGTATACATTGGTTATGGGGAACAGCAAGACATAATCATTTTCCAGTTTACATCAAATCTCATTCAACAGCAATTATTTAATTGCATATAGTTTGTTTTTTTCAACCATATTTCCTTACATTTTCAAGAACCTTGTCAGCTCATTATAAACGTGTCTAAAATTTCAATCTTCGAAATCATATTATGATTAATATATTATCTCATTTTCATTTTTTGAGTAAATGATAGAGATATGTCATGTTTTATTAAAACCAGACTTTAAATTTCGTTTTCGTAGAGTAATTCTATGAATTTATTCCGAATCAACAAATCGTTGCACATATCATTTTAGTTTTCATAATTAAACACTTTAGATAGGGATTAATTTAACTTATTGTTTTACCTAATCAAAAGAAATATCACTACGTGAAACGGTTTTATCAGTATGGGGTTGTAGAAATTGTTGAGATTAGATTGAGATCATGAATGGATCAATGTTAGACTATCATTAAAAACCTGGAAGCACTGAACGACCCTTCCGTTCTGTTACGCGGCTCATCAGCGGTGTGCGATCACGATCCCTCGCGCGGGATTCCTATTCATAACCTTCGGTCTCACGCGTGAACGCTTAACCTCTAGACTACTTAACCGGCATTCAACGGCGTTAAAGTCTGACTTCAACCACTCCACGATACTGTGCGACTGTCATTTTAATCAATTTCATCCATTCATTGTTAGTGTTATTATTCTTGTTATGAGACACTGAAAGTTTTTATTCACTATACGTTAAGTTGAACGGTACTGAATGAATTTTAGACTTTATTAATGGTCTTTTTATTTGATACAATTTATTATTAGGACGTTCCACATTATTTTGTGAAATAAGACGATAAAAATTTGAAGATATCTTTTTTTCATTTCAAGAATAAACCGCAATTCATTTATTGACCATGTCAAAATTATAATTTACTATCCCGTGAAACATCTGAAAACGAGGTTGTTTGTTTTATATACTTTACAGAGGATAAATCCAAAAACGGTAAAGAATTTTCTATGATTAAAAGTCTTTTCATATATGCATCATATGTCTCATGATTATATTTATTGAGATTGAGTAAAATCATATATTTCAAATGATTTTGTAGATTTCAGTGTGAGTTGAACAATTCTAACGTCTGTTATGAAATTTGCTCGAATATGAACTCAAGTTTTATTTGAATCTCCCAGATGGAATACACCAAAAGAATTCATTATAACATCATTGTGTATGGAATCTTTTGAATTATAACGTATAATTTTATCAAATTCTTCAAAGTTACATAATTTTTTACATTTAGCCCTACTATCCAGTAAGACATTGTTGTTAATTTTTATAATATCTAGCCCATGGTATCACAAAATCCCTCTAAACATAACACTGTTGATTGGGTATCACTACAAAATAATGTTTATTTCTAACAATTACTGTCAACAATATTATGGATATTGAAACTATTTATTTCGTTATATCTGAAAAGAAGCATTCTATAAAAGATTAAAATTAAAAGTGCCAACCTTATTATATTACACTTTAACATACTTTTACCAATTATATTTACCATACCTAAATTAAACACAAGATAACAGTTAAAGGATAGAATATATTATCCAGTACTTTCGATGGAATAACTAATTATTATTATATTTCCGATTATTTTTTAATGCATACATAGCTTTATCAACGATATAGTTTTATTCTCCAGGTAAGTCATATTGCTTTCAATATTTACTGGTCATTTTTCTAGTTCATGGTGATAAAGTAACATTGATTCAAAAATAATTTTCTGAGTTTATTGCCCATTCAACACCTTGTTCATTATGTCGGTAGATTGTATCTTTCGCCATGTAGTAAAATACACTCAAGATCATGGCTATTATTATTTGTTTAACATTAGTTACTTATTCGTTATGGACTTTAGGTCATTTTAGCTAGAAAGGACTATTTGAAAGAAGAAAGCAATTCTATTTTCCTATAAAGGGATAAAAAAGATAATCTGTCATAAATACTATTATTATCATCATCGGGAAGATAATAAAAAGAAAGGTGATGAACAGGGTGGGGATTTATTAAATCTTATTTTTAGACCTTATCATTACTCACCGAAACTTCGAAAAATTAAGTATACTTTATCTACCTATTCGTAGTATATATATAGTTTAACTGACAGACTATGATACCTAGATGTAATATATGAAATAATTATATAGGTCATAGTCTCTTTTAAAACATTCATATCACACCTCTAAAACACACACATTTTGTTGGTAAAAGTGCCGAAATGAGGATCAGACTGAAGAATCACGTATGTCCATCAGATTCTCTAAAAATATTTATCTAAATATGAGTAAGAGATAACCTAATTAATTAAAGTGAGCTACTGTATTACAGATGTTTTGCATAGATCAGTTTAATTTGCCGATGGTACTTATCATTCTATAATCTCAGTTTGAGCGCCTTTGATAACTAGAAAGATCTTGACAGTTATTTCTCCCCATAAACAGAGTATTTATAAGTGCACATCTACAACCCCTCCATAGAATAAACGCTTGGCCTTTAGATCTTGCTGTGAACGTTAATCCATAAAACACCGTCCACAACAATAACTATTTTTGCGGGGTAAATAACTCTTCTTCAAGGACGTTTAGACTGTTAATTCATCAAATATGCATGGAGTGAAATATAATCAATCCCTAATTTGGGTGATTATGACCCAACCATGATTATGTTTTCTCTATTTAAGAAAATATAAGTCTCACCTTTGTTTATCTATAATTAAAGTCTGATGGTTGGTGAAATATGACAAAAACGGGCATCGGTTAAATATTTTTCCAATATCTATTCACTTTCTGTAGTAATTACACATCTGAAGTAATCATTACCGAATAGTAGATGATGTTAATAGCTGGCAATTCACTTCTATAAATGATTTAATTTTGCAAGTGATTGTTTGGAACCAGGATAATTAAATATCAGTATTTTTATTTCATGGTCTTTCGACACAAGTTTGTTTTTCTATGAAAGCAGAATTCACCACGTGATTACAACAAACAAAACGGTTATACCGATCAAAGCTTTAAAATGAATAACTTTATCAATTCAACAACTGTTATAGTACAAAGTATTCTTTAATCCCTTAGCTTAATGGCTACCAGACAGTTGAGAAATGAATAAAGTTAATTCAGTTAACAACAAAGTTTATTTAATCACCAAAAATTAAATGGAATCATTACAAGAGAAGAATTTATTATATTATAAAATAATCACTTACCGAAACCTTGAATGAATTCATCCAAAGTCAATTGTCCATTTTTATCTTTATCTAATAGATTGAATACAAAATCCAATTGTGACATCGTCAATGGTAAACGATCACTAAGACGATCTAATGCTTGACGTGTTAAATAGCCACAATCATCTGTATCACAATGCATAAACAATTGACGAGCTTGTTCAATTATATCTGAACTACAGTCATCCATTATTATGTTGAAGTTTAAACACAATAATAATTGTATGGTTTGGAATAAAAAAATTTAAAGTAGTAACTGGAGAAACACTGTTGTCTGAAGTATATTTTACAACTTGAGTGTTACACGGTTTGGTTATGTAATGAACATTTATTCACTAACTAGTATACTTTGCATGGAATTGTTATAACTCAAAATAGTTTAAAGGAAAAACGTAAACATACATACAAAGCCATAATTAAGTAAATACATATTACAGACACACATACACAACACATTTAACACGTACATTCACAAATAGATTTATGTACGTGCTTAATACATACGAATAAGTGGTAGTTTCTTTCAATTTTTTTCACTTATTGGGCAATTTTCAAAAAAAAAATCCTTAACAAAAATAGATTAAATTTTTTTTATAGTTTATAATACTTTTAAATGGTCTGCTTCTGGACAGTATAGGTAAATAAGTACTATAAAAGGATTTATACAATAAAAGTCACTTGGATAAAAAGTTCAGATTATTGCAAAAAATGTAAATAATAGGGGGGAGGGGTTATAATTGATTATATTTTATAAATAATTTATTTCATAAATATTCATTGATCTGCACACACACACACATCTATTATGGTAATCATGTGATTTTGAGCACATTAAATATTAAATAAATTTGTTAACCTTTAAAAAACATGTGATTTTTTAGTTATTGAGCATAAAGCTCAATTATTAGTGAACTCCACTGTGCGAATAAAAAAATATATATTTAAATTAATTAATTAATTATTTAACCTGTAGTCTGTATTCTAGGTAATTTTTTAAAATAAAATTATTTTCAAGAAGTTTGAAGTGAAAAAAGTGGATTCGATAATTTCGAAAGTGTTATACATCATTAAGACATTTTGTCTGTTATAAAGTGAATTCTGTTTGTTTAAATTCATAAGTCGTAACATGTAAACGAACTATCTAATTGTAAACAAAGATGGATAGTGGCTACCAGTGGAATCCAGATTGACGCGCGTTTCGTCCTATTTGAGACTCGTCAGCTGGATGTACCTGCATATCAGAGTTGATGTTCACTCTGGTACTCGAACCCAGTACCTTTCGCGTTATCCTTTCGCCCACTGAGTCCTGATAGCCGCTTGCTTGTGCATTGGGATGAAGTTTAAATTCACTTAGTATTGTTTTGTTTGAATCTTCCCATTGATGTTTTAGGACTGCAACTGGTCAGTCTCTAATTGACATATGTGTATACTGTGCGTATTGCCTCTATATAACCCTAATTCACAAGCATTGGAAGGAATCGGTCTTCATAGTTCTATTCTACTAAAGAAAATGTATTAGCTTGAATCTTATAATTCGAATCAATCAAACATCAACACAAATAAACATGGACTATGGAAAAAATTCTTTTTATAGGATTGCTTAACGTATGTTAAATTATTACACTTAAAGGCTAAACAAAAGTTATTTAGAGTATATAATAGAAAAAACCATTGATGTCTTTCATTTGTTTTTTGTTTTTTTTAATAAAAATGAAATAATTTTGTGGTAAATTTCGGTTATACATCAAATATTTTCCCAGTAGACTATTTTTTAGGCAATGCTATTCATAATTAGAAGACTTATAGGTTTGTTTGCAAAACTCATGAATTGACAATAATGATCCATTACTATTTGAAACATAAATTTGCGTTAGAAACAGAGAAAATGAATTTTTTTATTGGACACATTGACATTTTACAAGTACATCAGTTCTTTCTAAAAACAACATATCCAATGATTGGTAGAATTGTAAAGAGAGATCTAATAATACAAATTAGAAATATTTCAACTGTAGAAACTTATAACGTGATTGGATAGAATGACATTCAGAAATCAGTATATTCGTAGCTTACAATTCGTTCTTGAAATTACAGATGGTTTAACACAGACTACTAAAGTTGCACAGAGTAATCCAAAGAACTTTTAATGCAGGTAAACTACAATTATGGTTTTCTACACATCTAATGATCATTTCGAGATCGGAAGATAAATTACCTAGACTGGCCACTTCTTTCTATTTTTATCGATGAAGCTGCTCTTATGGAGCAAGCTCTATTGGCAGGTGTTCTAGGAAGTTATGTTTTCGGCTCGCGACCACCTCTCGGTGTGATTAAGCAAAGGTATAGTTAAAGCTGTCAACAGTTAAATTTTAGCTCATTTGGTACTAATGAGCCATACAGTCAACATGAAGCAATAGTTCACAATATTATTTCGTGTTGGCAGCAATCTGCATAGATCCTTCAGACTGATAATCATTCAGATGGTTGAAGCAATAACTATTCGGATCAAAAAGCCAGAGTCTTGTGTCCGGAAGGAGTATATTCGACCGCTCCTTTTACTTCTGCCGAAGTCAGTCCTAACTAGTTAATAATCATTTTTTATGATATGGTGACGTAATTTGGTTAGTGTTTATTTTCATAATTTAAGCTAATATTATTCACACATCTTATCATTGCTATTATTATCATTATCACTATTATTATAACACCCGGCAACCTTTTTGATAATTATGTTCAACATCCATCCTTACTTGCAGATTCTTACCCAATTCATAATATTCTACATATTAATTTATTTCTGATTTATAATTACAGTATTATCTCTCACCCCATGTTAATCACAGTTATTCTAATCATTAATTTTACAATTTCATTTAACATTTATTCAAGTTAACACGTATTAGTCACCCCGACACTAACCATTTGATTTGATTTTATATTACAAATGATCTAAAATTTACATATTATAATTTTAAATGTTATACTCTGCTTTAAACCTGGCCATTGTTATGGATTGTTAACTTGGATATATAAATGTAGAACCTGATTAGAAATTATTGAAAAGAATATTCCTCGTTTATATTACCTGTTTCAATATGATGGGATATTTCAGAGAATATCAAGACGCCATTGGCGGCCTGTTTAAACATCTGGGCTACCTGTTCCTGTCATCTAGATATTTCAACAAGTTATCTAATTTCGTTTGTTTTAATACATCATTATGCCTATTAATCGCACAACCTATTCAGGTGCGTTTCTGAAAAGTGTAAGAACTTTCGCTGTAAAGGTTATAGAAGGCCTAATTAGAGATATCGTGGTTGCTGGCAATATGCAGCGAGAAGAATGTACATTATTTAGATGTCGATTGACTGGGTTGTTAACTTCTAATCGGCGATTACTCAATATTTATCGTCAGGAAGGATGAAGAAGCAAGAAACGGAAACTTTTTGAAGTACTTTGTGCTGAGAATTCCATATTGTACCAAAAATATAATATTGAATAAAGCCAATAATAATAATAATAAATACCTTTCAATGCTCTTCTGTATGTAAACATTGAAGTAACTGAATTCTTGTCTAATATTTTGTGATCTCCCAACGAGTAGAAAATTGTGTTTCTGACGTTTCGTGACTTGATGTAAGTTACTTCCTCAGAGTACATAAATAACCGAGACAAGTCTAGATAATACAAGGGAAACAATGCAGAATGTATTTAGTAAAATCAAAATCATAATGGGTCGGAACATGTCAATGTCATGTTATTTTGGTCAAGATGATTCTGTTTGACATATCACTGCATTAATTTGTGCTTAAGAAGGTGGGTATGAATTCTCATCTGGTTACAAAAAATGGTCTTATAATAGTCTTAGGCATTAGTTTCTTTGTTATAAACTGGCCGGTACCCAATAATGAAGTTATCAGAAAATTTTAGATACTACATAATTAACTGCTCAGACCTGTAAAGTTTATTTTTCAAAATCTCCCTGAAAGACTTAATGAGATATTTACTTAACTGAAAACCAACACTATCTACATAGATTTAAAGCACTTTGTAAATGATTTTGGTTTAGGAGTAAGAAAACATTTTTTGGCTACTTATACAGGATATTTTTACGATAGTCATCAATATTATTTTTGTTATAAACCCATCACCAAATCTCTCGAAAAATGTAGTCTACATGAACATAGGTTTTATGAATGTACAAATATCGTTTGCCAGATCATGGAGAAGAAATGGTTGTGTTTGCGCTGAAAGTATGAGTATCATGTAATCTCTTCCAGTTTCAATGTTTAAAAACATTACAAACAAGTTCCTACTCCGTAGCTTAGACCAAATACCTACAAAAGTCAATTTCTTTAAATATGTGAAAAGGGTATACTGTTAGGGATATCTTTGGACTAACGCTTGACCACTGAAGCGTCTGGATTGATTGAATTGAATGATCTTTGAATTATATGTATACTAATGAAGTGAAATCCAGCGATTTCACTCACTGTTTGTTGAATGAATTATTTGAAATTTTTGCTTCCTTTCAGTGAGAAAATCTTAGTGATCAGGATTCTTGAGAAATCAAGTGGTATTCGAAAAAAAATTAAATAACTACAACGTTTTATTCGGAAGTTAAATTCAGTCATTTCCATGGAAATGATCAAAATTCAGTTTATCATTTATGCATAAAGTTACGAAAATAATTTTACATTGAACATTTGTCCAGTCATGTTCAGATGTTGAATTGATTTCGTAATTTAAATATCAGTCGTGTAATGGAATAATATGTGCAAATTGTCATATATAAAGCTGTATGTGTACAAGTTATTGTAATGTATATATTCAGGACCAAATATTTGTATAACTATCCTTTCGAATCTTAACTGACATTTGTTCTTCTCTAAGATTTATTTATTTATTATATAAAAGAGAGCTGTTCTATTTTGAGAAATAACATAAAATCTAACCATAAAGATATACAGTTCAGTCCAACAGTCTCAATCTGCAAATATTTATACACAATTACAAGTAGTATCGTATTGATGAAGTCATTTAAAGTAAATATCAAACTCATACAGAATACTAAAAAAATGTCATTTGTTTTACTGATAATATATTTTGAAACAGATATTATTAGAAAATGCCTCCTTAAGTTAAATGAAATCGATTAGATCTTTTATTAGATTAATTGAACAAAACAACTTTTGAAAGTGATTTCCCGTTACAAACTCATATGTCAGCCGAAAAAATAAATAAAATTAAGATAAAAATTGCTTATATGATTATTTCACTAAATTTTGGAAAGTGTTTTTCATGTGGACATTATTGAAAAAAATGGCTGAACAAAGAATACATCAAGTAAACAGAATATACCTATTGAAACATGAAATAAGAAAGAATACATTAACTAACACATTGATATTGAAACTATCTACCTTTATTACTCTAATAATATTCTTGGAAACAAAATGAAACCAACTTAAGAAACATAAGTAAATATATGTTGGTTGATTAAACAGTATTTTTGATTTCAAAGGAGCACCGAATTTAGACAGTCGTGTAAATAATTCAAAATTTATAGATATTTACCTTAATAAGAAGATACATTATTCTATTATGCATAAATAATATTAAAATTCACATAAATTTAATCAAATTTAATTTAATCAATCAGATAATTATGGATTGATTCATCCACTTGAATAGTCACTATTTAGACTAACAGCAAAATGAACGAAGAAATTCACAAAGATCAACTACGAACGGTTGAAATGGTACCGTAAACAAAGAAAGTGAAAAAGGATGGTATTAAGGAAATGAACACATTTAAACTATATAAAGACTCAAAGTTAACAACATGATAATCAATGAATATATTTGTATCAGTATGATTGATTTCCAACATGTCGTCTGATTAAATGCAAGTGGGAGTCAACAGTTTGGAGACTAAAGAGTATGTCTCTGCATACTCTCTAATAAAATATTTTGAAACAATACGACAACATATATGACATTTGAATCACAATCTTATATAAGGTGAACAAATAATCAAAAAGCAGGATTGTGATGTTAGTTTCCACTTTGGGTGAGAATAGTTACTTACGAATTGTAACAGGTCCATGTGCAGTCGTCAAGATGGCTTCGATTTAGTCACAAAAAGGACAAATATCAAACAAGTCAACTGCTAATAGAAAAAAATCGATTTAAACTTACTCATCAAATAGTCAGCAATATTTTAACTAAGCATTTACTCACTTCATGATAACCATAACCTCAATCATTCAAAACAATCATATTCTCTACAAGTAGTGAAATTCAGTTAATACACACTCAATCAATCAATTAATACACATTTGCTGATGACATGTATGGAACAGATGACAATAGCATTCAATCACGTGAATCAAATAGTCAGCATTATTGGTTTCACATAAAATATTACAAGTAGGCAACTATTCATGCATCCAGTGATGAATGTGTTCATAACTATCAATGTGTGAATCAAGTCATGACAAAATCAACTAGAATGACAGTCAATAAAATGAATCTACAGAATTATCGATACATCTGATTATTTATAGTATCACTTTGCCAAAGTGGTAAAAACGTGAAATGAAATAAGCTAGACATTTAGAATTATGGATTTTTTCTGTCGATAACACAGACTGAAGTAATGACAATCTTTCGGTGTTGGAGATACGACGATGTTACATAAATCATATCACAAATGATGAATGAACTCATGATCACAGATATATTATGAAATGTTTGTCTTGAACACAGAGTAAATGAAAACATTCACATCTTACTGTCTGTTGATGATTACCTCTTCACCAATCGTTGGTATATTACTATAGAGAATAATCATTTAATAAATTATTTTCTACGGTAAGATTTGCAGTTTGAAAAATTTGTCAATGTTGACTTTTATTTGATCCAGTCGACTAACTTCTTCGAGTATACCCAATAAAAAGGATCATATGATTCCCAAAATTATATTTTCCTATTTGTATAATGTATGTAATTCAATATATTAAAATATTAATGATAAAGTTATGGATGTATATATAGATTGCTAGAAAGTATGTATGTATAATTTATTAAAATATCAAGATAAATGGATAAGGTTTAATAGTATTGTAAATAATAAGATTGTCAAAAACAATCATGAGAAAAGAATAAAGTTGCGATAGTACTTCAGTGTCTTTACGAAGGTTTGAATTGATGAAATCGAATAAACCGAGCAATGGGTGGAATGTTTATTGTTAAAAAGCAATATATTTGTCATATTCAAATGAGTAGGAAATAGACTTTTTAACGTTCTACACCTTGTAAAAGGTCGCTTCTTCACGGAATGAATAAATAACCGGTTTAAATCTTTAAATGTTTAAGTTGTACCTTAGTGTCAGTTTAAAGTGGATGGTTATACTTCAAGTTACATTTAAATTTCTTTTATACAAATAGACTGAAAATGACAATTCATTGTGTTTATTTTCATTTTTCAATGTGAATTTTATGTGAGATGAAAATGTAATCACAATTGATTTATCATTGGGTGGTGATCAATGTCATGCGTGTCAAGTCCTTCTTAGTGATGATCGAATGCTATCGACCAAGTTGCAATGTGACCACTAGTCTAGGTGACTCGACACTGTGTGCACTATGTTGAGATAAGATGGTGGTTGGAGGTGGTCAACAAGAAACCCTGGACCCGGGTTTCGTGCTACTTGACAATCGTCAGTAAGGTGTACCTATAATCTTGAGGGAACTGATGCTCTCAAACAGATTCGATCCCGTGTCATTCAGCTTCACAATCAGAGACGTTACCACTGAGCTGTCCGGGCCGCGACCGATGAAAATGTATTCATCACTTTAGAGAAATACCTCAAGAACGGCATTCGAATCACTATAAGCAAAATCGACGACCTATTGTTTATGTAACTAGGGTATTACTTTGGTTAGCTTTGTCATAAACAATTATTATTTCATCGTTTTGTAAAGAATTAAAACCGTCAATTTTTCTTTCGAAATATTTTCCTAAATACGCTTTTATTTTTTCGAAATATGAGGCGTCTTCGATATACGAAATGAGGCTCTTTTTCATATAACTGTTTGAGTTGCAGTACGACCTAAATTTCTATGGCTTTAATTCGGTTATTTATTGATTATCTGAATAAATGACTTACACTAAGCTCCAAAATGCCAAAAAATTAATTTTTACTCAATGATATATTATGAACATAAAATTTGATTATTATAAATAAGAGTACGTGTGAAAGTAATATTCACAGTCCTCCATGGTAACTTCGAAAAATACGATTTTGACCTAATGTTTAGTGAACTGTATGGGAAGAAAGAGGATCGAATAATTGATTTACTAGGTTTGACAGGAACATCCTAGTGGCTATAGCATCAGTTTTATTGTTGAAACGAATTAGTATAGACTCTAAAAGCTTGATCGTCACTTTGCATGTGGTGCTAAATGATAAACTTATTTATTTTATGTTGCAAGATCACTAAAGCCAATACTGAATTTTTCAATGAATTACTTTAGATTAGACGCATGAAGATATACAGTCAAAATATGAAGGGTTCAGATGTTATACCAAACAAAATATTAAGGTGACTGCGTGCATAAACCTGACCAACTATGAAAATACTAAATTCTACACGAAACTCCTTCTGATTTATAATCATATGCTCATTAGTGACTGACTTCAAGAGATGTTTCCTGGAGTTCTAGTGAGACGCAGTGACCAGTGGAGTTCAACCAAGTCTGTTGTAGAGATATCAACTCACTGAAGACAATTGGTGAACGGTTGCTCAAACATCGTGGTTTGGTTGAAGTTAGACATTAACACCGTCGGATGACGGCTAAGTGGTCTATCGGTTAAGTGCTCTGGCGCGAAACTGGTAGGTCCTGGGTTCGAATCTCGTGAGTGAAGGATCGTGGATGAGCACTGTTGAGGAGTCCCATAATGTAACGAAACGGTCTTCCAGTGCTTCCAGGTTTTCGATAGTGGTCTAGCTTCAATTGATTCATGAATCAGCTATGAAAATAATAATAATTTGTTAGTTATCGAGATAAGTTAAAAGTCAGTTGAAATATTACCAAACATGCATATAAGGTGATTAAAAATAATATCAGGCGATAATAATATTTTTAGTGTTAATAAGGACAGCTTACATACAAACTTAGTCATGTGATTTCAAAAACACTTGACATAATATTGATCACTTTGTAATAACATAGTAAGTGACGTTAAACGGTTACAGTAAACAAGGTGTGTGTTAACGCCTATTGGCCTGTTTAAATTTATGAATCATTACAATTAGTTACATTTTACAATGTTAAAAACATAGAAACTTTTGTTAGAATTGAAAAGAAACCGTCCTTACATTAAGAAGTGTATAACTTTCCAGAAAATTGTTCTATATTACGACCATCAAGTTTATTCATATAATCATAACTTACATATATGTAATTCGTTTCAAGAGTTCCTAAAGTTTACATAAAGGATTTCAAAACGACAGTAATTGAACAGCTCTGAAATTCAGTTGATCATGATATAAAGAAATTGTTTTTTTTCTGAAATAGCATATTACCGATTGACTTTATTTATGGATGTGAATGGAAATGAAAAGGAAATGGAGTACTGACAGCTACAATTAAATAACTTGGAACATTTGGCAGAAAATAATGAATATTTTGGTGATATTCTAAATTGTTTTAGATGGGGCGGTATAAAACTTCCCATAGTTTTGTTGAATAATATTTGCATAGTTGAAATCATGAAACAATTGAAGCTAGACCACTATCGAAAACCTGGAAGCACTGGAAGACCGTTTCGTTACATTATGGGACTCCTCAACAGTGCTCATCCACGATCCTTCACTCACGAGATTCGAACCCAGGACCTACCAGTTTCGCGCCAGAGCACTTAACCGATAGACCACTTAGCCGTCATCCGACGGTGTTAATGTCTAACTTCAACCAAACCACGATGTTTGAGCAACCGTTCACCAATTGTCTTCAGTGAGTTGATATCTCTACAACAGACTTGGTTGAACTCCACTGGTCACTGCGTCTCACTAGAACTCCAGGAAACATCTCTTGAAGTCAGTCACTAATGAGCATATGATTATAGATCAGAGAGACGGAATAATATAAATTCTTTGTTGAGTGTCATAAACACTAATTGTTATACAGCTTCACTATCGCAAAACATGTAAATTCTCGAAACTGCAACCTTAGGAACATACTTAAGATTGAGTATTTAATAAACCATAAGATTAAGTTATTTCTTGGTTAATTCTAAAACCGTACATTCTGATTAAACATTAACATTTTTTACATTACAAACTATAGATGTAATAAATAATGCATAATAGGGTTTGAAAATGGTATTGGAAGGAATGATTCCAAATGAAATACCTTTCTTACTCAATGAAGGTGTGCCTGAAATATATTTATTGATCTTATTTTAAAAGACCAAAGCTGGTGAATAATTCCAAGAGTCCATAGAATTTTTATGAGTACGGTTTATTTAAACATTTGTTTTTGCCGTCCTTATACATACTTACATTTACTTTGATATATATCTTGTGTTCAGCTCATTCGTTTTTTCGGTTGAATCTAATTGAGTGAAGTGAATTGGTTGAAGTGAATGGATAAAAATGAACACAGTAACAGGCAAAACAATATGAAACGGTAAATAATAAGGAAAAAAGTAAAGTAGTCATCACAAGTAAATAGTAAGTTAACATGGGTTTTATGGTTGATAACTAAGCAGGAGTGGAGATTCAATGAAAATTAGCACAGTAAATTTGCCATTTAACCAGCTCGAAAAACGATTACTAAAAGAAGGGAATTCTTTGATCTAAAGACTATCGCTTTATCGTTTTATGGTAGCAAAGCTTACATTGAAAGCGTCTTTTGGATAACGATGTGCAAATAAACACGCTTATAATTTTTGGATACAGCAAGATTGGATAACGTTAGAACACAAAACTCATTACTTATTACTTGGTAGAAGTCCTTGGATCTACGATTCATCCTAGTCGGCTTTCGTCAATGAGATGTTTCTGTGACCTAGAAAAAGTTTATGTGCATCTTTAGAATCTGGATGATATTACTCTATGTTCAAGACGAATATGTTACCACTAGGCCCACATTGTTTGATTGACCAGCGATGACAATTTCATCAAAATTGCAGGAATATTTTGCTGACAAGTGCCAACAAGTTTGTGCTTCAACATTCCTTTGTTTTTCATAGTTTTTCAGTTAACATTAGTTCATGCTTAAACATAATTCAACATTGAATGACCTCAACTCCTGTCATGCGAAAGTTATTTATTTCAAGCATATTGAAATTTAAAGCATAAAAGTTCATTTTCTAAATAGTCGGCGGTAAACGAATAAAACATTAACATTTACAATATTCCCAGAGCTCATTTAAAATACGAGTTAGTCTCCTAAAATA